TAATGACACCAGTCACTTACTTCTACCCACAAACCCCTTGGGCTCTAAGTTGCACATGCAGAAAATTTGAAATTATGCTGTTTGGGTTTTTTTTTTAACTACTCTGCAAAGAGAATCCTTGAGAAAAAAGAAACTGCTCTATTGAAACACTAAACCATAGCACTATACTGTTGCCTATTCTAAGCGCCTCTAAGCCATTACCATCTGTTAGCTTATTTCCACTTGTAGTATTTTTTTATACTGTATTTCATTGATGGCTGAATTCAGAGAAATCTGTGTATTGTACTTTATCATTTTTAACAGAGCTACTAACATATTTTTGATTAAAACTGCTGAAACAAAAAAGACCTTTATACAACTGCTGTACTTTGATTGTGATAATAAATAAATCTGTTTGCGGATTTTAGTTTACTTGCACTCATTGACTATGTTCACATTGCAGCCTAAATTGACCCAAATCCGATTTTTTTTTGCCCATATGCGACCAGGATCTGATCTTTCCGTGGCTGTCTAAACAACATGGATCCAATTTTTTCCAATGCGACCCAGGCCACTTGGCTGTGTGGTCCTGAATCTGATATGAATCAGATCTTTTCAAATTTGATCTGTGTGTGAAAGGCCAGGTCGGATTCATCAGACCTGAACGTTATTAATACCAGACAAAAGTCACTATTATGCATCTTGCTATGCAGAAGCAGCAAGAAAAACAACAACCATGGCAGATGATGATGCGGGGAGCAGTATTTATGTTTAACCATATTGAAAAGATTATTTTTATGGTTGGAAAAGACCGCTAGATGCGCGCCGGCACTACCATCCATGTTTACTTCCAGGGAAAAAAAGAGGACGCTGGCCTGTGACGTCATTGCGTCCTCTACTGCGCATGCGGGATACTTGCTTTGTATGACTGCAGTTCACACAGGAGATCACATACAAGTCGCATTTGGAAATATGAACGGCAACGTCAAAAAATCGGATTTTGCAAAAAAAAAATCGGAATTGACCATCAAGGCCTGCCGTGTGAACGTTAGCCATTTAGCAATTCTCTTCAGACATGAGCTTTATTAATGTGCTGAAAGTTGTTTGATTTGTCAAGATAGACTTAAATAATACAGTGATTATAAAACTGCTAAATTTCAGGAGAAAGGTGGGACATATTCAAGCTGATTTAAGAGAATGGGGGATAAAAACAATCTAGACATAATATTCGGAGCAATTCATTTACTCAAAACATAACTCCAAAGTTATGTTTTAATAAAATTAAAGAAATTTCGCATCTTTGAATTGGGTGTTGAATTGTTCCTTCATGTTTGTATTTATTTGCTCCTAAATAATCAGTCCATGCTCAACTGACCCTGCAAGGAATTTTGATATGAATACTATTTTATATCATTAAAAAATGAGTGTTTCCAAATCCTGCTAATTCAAATAAGATTTTATTTTTAGAGCATGTTATTACAAATAAAATTCTGCTTTCTTCTAAAATGTTGAATATCAGCTTAAAATAGAAACCTCCTTATCACCTTTTTCTTTTGTTTGTTTGTTTGTTTACCAATTCAAGTAGTTATCTAACTTAAAGCTACAGTGTGTAATAATTACAGGCATATAAAGTCAGAAATTTAATATATTATACATAACTATGTTATTTATCATCACCTATGAGCTCAGCCTTTTAACCATAATATTTGCGTTGCCTTAGAATTCGTTATTTATAATTACATAGGAGCGGGTCTCGCAGCCATGGAGGCTGACATCTTTGCGCTACGGCAAGCGCAGATGCAACAAACTAGCGATTGCGAGATCTCCCATGACGCTCAAAAATAACTACGGCAAGTTGAGAGAGATTAACTGAGACGGTACTGAACAGTAGATGGCAGTATTATGCCTGAGAAGCGTTTAGTCTGCCTGAAACCAAAGAAGAAGAAGAAGCAGGTATACTGCGCCTCAGTAACAAGAAAGGTGAACAAGGCGGCAGGCGTGAGTGACTTTGCAAACTGTTTGGCACTGTGTGGCCAAACATCAGACGAATGGAGGATCATGCCTACTCTGTATCACAACGAAAAGCGGCGGACACCGAACCCCCGTCATCTAAGAAGCGGAAACACGACGAGAATAAACGCAAGCGTGACAAGAAACGGCAAAAAACACGGATCAACATTGGCACGGCATTTACACGATGGAAGTCACTGATGGAGGAAAAAGGTTTTCAAAGTGACGCTCAAGTTGCCAGTTTTCTCTTGGACAGGTAATTAATCCTACACACACAATTGTCTAATATCACTGCAGTTTTTGGAGTACAGGATGCTCAGACCTGTCTAAAACAATAACATGCTGCGTGATGATGCTGTTACCCTCCAGTATACTTATTCAGCAACGTCCCTGACGTTTCACAGGTAATGATTCAGTAATTTTCTGTAAAATAATTTTCTGGATATATACCTCGGTTACTTCTCTCCGGCTCCTTTGGAGATCTTCAAGCCTTTCCTCCTCTGCTCTCACCCCGCTGGCTCCCCTCTCTCGCCTGGCCCTAGCTGCACGGCCTCCCTGCCTTCGCCCTCGTCCTCTCCCTCTTCCTCGCGTTGTAACCCCCGTGCCACCAAAATGACTTGGACTCTGTAAACGGGGGATATATATTCTTCCAGCGAACACAATCTCGCTGTTAAACTAATGACTACAATTACTTCGTCTGTTTATATCACCATGCAAAGCAGCTCACCAAGACGTCACAACGATGTAGAAAAAATAACGGGTATATTTATTATCTTAAGTCTACATGAAATCTATACCCTACACAGACTAATGAAATACTATCTGTAAAATTATCTATGTAAACAAACCTCATCACTTGAGAGGGTAGGTGATGTGGACGTCGTAGAAGAAATTTTGTCCCGTAACGCTCGCCGTACTGTTGGGGGGGAGAAGCGGTGGGGGGGAGATGTTCATGTTGCTGCGGTCTGTAGTCTGACCGCTAGATGTCGCTGAAAATTACACACTGTAGCTTTAAGCCACTTTCTAATTCATTTACTGGTTTGCTTGTAATTGTGTTGGAACACCATTTTCTTGCCCATCTTAATTTTTATAGCTTATGTATTGACGTGTTTCATCAATATTTCCAAGATGCCCATGATATTCGCTTAGACTATTGCTTTTATCCAATACATACATTTTACACTAAAACGGAGCCAATTTCCTCTTTGATACACTTTTCTTTTTTTTTTTTGGCACTTTTTTATGGCTTATGAGCTATTTATGTGTGTGTAAATTTGCAGATTATCATTGCATCTGGAAAATGTACTGAAGGTGAACCAGACCTGTAGAAAGACACCATTTCTTTCTGGGCCTAATTTCCTCTCAAGTTTTGAGTTGTACCTTCCAGAGGATTGTCTTGACATCATTATCTGGGTTAAAGCAAATTATATAAAGGTGTGGTGATCTTAGTGATCATAAATGTATCTCAATAAATAAATGATCTAAAGAAATTCTGTTTTTACTCTGTTTACCTGATAAGGATAATCCTGGTGTCTTGGCAGATTCTGAGGTCATTTGCAGTGACATCAGACAGCAGTTTATGCTTTATATATAGGTTAGCAACATAAGAGTAAATCCAGTAAAAGCATTATTACCACATTAAGGGCTGGTTATACTCCCAGCAGTAGTGTGTCGCAGAGAGCTTGACGCAGACATTTTTGAGTTATGCTCAAGTTGGAATTGTGGTCTGTGCTATGTTATATTCCACGCCACAACGCCAGAGGTAAAATCATGAACTAGCCGTGGGTCTAGATACGGCCGAGGCGGTGAGGAAGTGGGGGCAAGTTTGTCCGACAATGGAGGGACATGAGGGCGAAAAAGAGCGGGGATCCAGCTGGAAAAAGGGTCCCAGTGTTCTCGCGTACCTTGCTCTTCTAGCTGGTCCAACTTCACGTGTAGTTTTCCGCAGTTGCGGTCATACAAACAAAACAAGCCGGCAACCGGATGTAGAATTGACCAATCAAATGCCTTCTGTCTGCGGCACTGTCTGCGGTCACCTACAATTTGGGAGAGGTGCAGCAGACTGTCTGGGAGGGGGCAGGGACGTCTTTTTGTCACTGCGACACCTATGCAGACGACCTAGTTTTGCAGTATGAATAAGCGTTTAGTACTGAGTCTGCTTGGCTCTTAGCTCAGACACTAGAACCTCACTTAACTATTCTTTTCAGCAACAGAAACGTTGCCTCAGCAGGAGGTCAGCCTATATAGTAATGTACATCTTTGAGCTAAGAGCCAAGCAAACACAGAACTAATGTGATTTTAATGATGAAACTAGTGTTGATTTGATAACAAGACCTTATTTTTCTGTGAACAACTACAAACTAGTGTTGCGCCGATGCTCTTTGTTTGGCCCCGATATAGATGCCACATACCTGACTGTGCAGTATTGGCCGAAACCATCTGTTTGAAATTGATGTGTGTGTCTATATGAAGAACTGCATAATACTTGGATGTGAAATGATTGCCTCCATGGCTTTGTCAAGCTGCTGCCTACCTTTGTGAAGCAGGAAAAAGATTAATACAAAATGAATCCAGTAGAAGTTTTTATTCCCTAATAAACTTTAAGCTCTCAAATTGGTATAGGTGCCGTATTTGTTGGTACTCGCCGATACCGATACCACCATTTTAGTGCTGGATCTGGGCCCTGTCTGATACTGTTATCAGTATCAGTGCAACACTAGATGAAACGTAGGGTGCTTTTACTGAGCTACTTTGTATATAAAACATAACCTAACAGAAGGACCTCAAAATCTTATTTCTATTGTATTACCACCTATGATTATAATTTTACGTACACTAAGATAATGGTTTATATAATGTTATTTAAACTATGCTTTTAGAACATGTCAGAGAGAAATGGTGTGAATAGACTTACAAATTTTAGTTCTTTCCTTATGCATCTATGTACATGTACATCAGTGCAGCCCAACAGACTGTATTCATTTTCTTCTCTGCTTTTGCCTGTTTGACAGAGAAACCAGGTCCAGAGAGGAAGCGCATTAAAAAGGAGCCGACTAACACCAGGAAGAGCTTGCCGTTTGGAATGGGGATGCCTGGGATCCGGGCCGGGTACCCTGTCTCTGAGCGGCAGCAGGTGGCCTTGCTCATGCAAATGACAGCTGCAAAGACCGTCAACAGTCCAGGTGCGTGCTTATCATTTAGGCCACGTCTTCTGTTGACCGGTGGCGGAAAAGAAAGCAGCAAGTGGATGGAGCTTTATATGTAGTGTTTGGTGTGTGTGTGTGTGGGAGAGCAGTATGCGTAAGCAGAGTAAAAAGTGAACCAGATGGGGGGATGAGTCACTGGTTATTGTTGTTGTTTATTTTCAAAATCTTCAGCGAGCCTATGTGCCATTTCTTTTATATATATCGTTTTTTGTTTTTGCCTCGTCTCTAGCCTGCCTCTGGATACGTATCCAAGCATAGACATTATATAGAAATGGAGTAGCAATTTTAGAGACGCTGTCAGTGATGGATTTTATTTTGACAAAAGTGGCTTTAGCAGACTGGTACATGTAGATTTCTAAATACAGTGTATATGGAAATGATAACAGCTTTAACTGTTGCTTTTCTCTGGGACTGATTGTGCAATCTCTTTATTGGAGCCAAATGGCAGTACACAGAATTAATAAATAAAAAAAGGCATGCTAGAATTTAGCTGTAGACTGATATACTAATGCCACTTTAGATTTAAGGCTTTTCATTGAAATTAGTTGTGTTTACTCTGATTTTATGTTTTTGGTAGGCAGATTAATTTGTGTGGAAATGTATTACCTGCCTATATTTGGGTTATTGTTGCAACCCTAGTGTTTATTTCCAGCGTTGACATTTTAGATGGAATGAAATAAGTGAGGCTCAGTGCATAGGCTCTTTTATTTGAATGTTAATTTCTGTCTTGCATGCCCAGAGGCATTGGCTTAGATTAAGTGATTGCATTTCAAATGTTATTTTGGACAATAGCTCTACAAAGTCAATAATTTAAATGAAATATAGGCTTGTTTTTAATCTTGTAAATGTAAAAAATGCTCAAGTATTCTAAGCAAATGTGGTGTTCTGGAGTGTGACTGCCCCCTTGTGGCCACAAGCTGTTCAAACAAGTATTGCTTAAAGGAATAGTACACCCAAAACATGATTATCCTTCATTTTCTACTCACCCCCATGCTGAACAACACTCTGGAGTACTTTTTTGATATCTCAAATGCATCTGGAGATCTGGGAGGCTTCTTGCTGTCTGCTGACATTCAAATAATGGAGGTGCCCAGCGCCCGAGGCAGAAAGGTCCATAAAAGTCCACAAAAAACGTTTCAATATTCCTCCATACTGCTCGTCCAATGTATTCCAAGTGTCCTGAGTGGGTAGCGTCCATAATTTACTCGAAACAAAGTCATTTAGAATGTTTTTAGAGCATAAACAGTAGTGTATAGGATTTCCTGAAAGCGCGCACATGCGCGATCACGACGCTACGGAAGCCGGCAGACCAAACCAGCGCATTCAGCTCTGCAAAGAACTCATGCTCTTCCTCAACACTGAAGTCCTCAGACATTTTTCTTTCGTTGTTTCTTTCTTTGCACAGGTAAACGGCACATTTCTTCTTCTACGCTTGCATTATCGGCAGAGCAGACGCTGAATGCGCACTTTCATCTGGTTTGGTCTGCCGGCTTCCGTAGCGTCGTGATCGCGCATGTGCGCGCTTTCAGGAAATCCTATACACTACTGTTTATGCTCTAAAAACATTCTAAATGACTTTGTTTCAAGTAAATTCTGGATGCTACCCACTCAGGACACTTGGAATACATTGGACGAGCAGTATGGAGGAATATTGACACGTTTTTTGTGGACTTTTATGGACCTTTCTGCCTCGGGCACCATAGACCTCCATTATTTGAATGTCAGCAGACAGCAAGAAGCCTCCCAGATCTCCAGATGCATTTGAGATATCAAAAAAGTACTCCAGGGTGTTGTTCAGCATGGGGGTGAGTAGAAAATGAAGGCTAATCATGTTTTGGGTGTACTATTCCTTTAACAGCACAAATGGTTCCAGTACATTTTTATAAACTGTTAAAAAATTTGAAAATTCCTGGATTAAAGAGTCTTTTGTCCTCCGTGTGCAGACACAACACCAAAGCATCAGTCACAGTCCTGTCTGGGTCAGAAGGGAACGCCAAACTCTGCATCTAAAACCAAAGACAAAGTAAATAAAAGGAATGAGAGAGGAGAGACTCGGCTACACAGAGCAGCTATCCGTGGAGAGGTGCGCCGCATCAAGGAGCTCATCAGTGAAGGAGCTGATGTGAATGTAAAGGATTTCGCAGGTCAGGAATTTCTCCTCATTTCTGTCACTTCTTTTGCAAATGCAGTTGTATGTTTTCCCTTTTACAGTAAAATATTTGACAAAGCCATTGGTTTTTATCTTCAGGCTGGACTGCATTGCATGAAGCATGCAACAGGGGATATTATGATGTGGCCAAACAGCTGCTGGCAGCCGGAGCTGAAGTCAACACCAAGGGTCTGGATGATGACACTCCTCTGCATGATGCATCCAACAATGGACATTTCAAGGTAAAGGGAGATAAAAGGTGCTTTTTAGGTTCAGTCATCAATGAAGAGGTAAAAAATATGAAAAATGTAAAACAGCAAAATGCGTTTGTTGGTTAAAGCCAGAAATAGCTGCAAGTCTTCAAGCAGTCTGATCAATATTTTTCATATCTTGATCTTTTTCATTTTTATTTTATTTTTTATCCAGTAGGCTGGCATCACCTTACAAATTATGTTTGATCAACAAGTTTCCCTCATAGAAGAGCTTTCCGAACAGTAGAGAGGTCTCAATCTAGAGCCAAATAAAGCGTTGTTTATAAACAGATTGTTAGATTTCAATTACTTGTGAAATATTCTATTTTTGTCCCCTGACATTTCTGGCAGTCAAAATTGAGAGGTGTTGGTTTTCCAGTCGCTCTGTACCATATATTTATCAATTGGATTGATTGAAGCAGTGTTGGCAAAGGCAGCAAGCATAAACAGCAACATCAGAAGGCAATTTTACAAAGGGGGAAGACAAGGTTGCATCTTGACAAGGTTTTTTTGAAAATGTTTTTCACCTTATGAAGGTTTTTGTTGCAAAATGCTTCTGATTATCCACAAAATCCTCTTCAATATAACACTTTGTTTGCTAGACTGCACCCAAATGGGTGCTGTTGACGTCACATCTCCTGAACAGCGTGGGAACTTCCAACCCAAAATACATTTAGGGACAATAGGCTACAGCTTTAAAGATGCATCTTTGCTAAACAACTGAGGGGTCAGTCTGCTCATCAAGTGATGTTTTACTCATAGGGGGGTCAAATAAAAGTCTATTTTAAATAAAAGTCTATTTTAAAGATATCTTTCAGTAAAAATGTTTGAATTGTCTCTTTAAGATGCCCAAATTTAAAATCTCAGCTGTCCTCATTTTATTTTAGACATTTGCTTGAAATGAAGACCCCTGGCCTTAAGCCTAAAAACAATGAATACTGATTGTTTCATTACCTTTCAGGTGGTAAAACTACTTTTACGCTATGGAGCTGATCCGCGTCAAAGCAACAGGAGAGGTGAAACACCACTGAAGGTTGCCAGCTCCCCAACTATGCTGAATCTGTTGCTAGGGAAGGGCACTTACACTTCAAGTGAAGAGAGTTCATCAGGTTTGTCCCTTTTTTTTCCTTATTTTTATATTTTAAATTGCCTCTTTTTCATCAGGTAGATGAGACGCTACTATATTTGATGAAGTTGTATTCTATGTTTCTTTTTTATGACAGAGTCATCAGAGGAGGAAGATGCCCCGTCGTTTGCTCCCTCAAGCTCGGTGGACGGCAATAACACAGACTCAGAAGTAGAGAAGGGGCTCAAACTCAAAGGGAAGTCTGCCGACCCACCTAAATCTGCAGTTACGCCTGTCAAAGACGAATACGAATTTGACGAGGATGACGAGGAGGAGCGTGTCCCTCCCGTTGATGACAAACACCTCTTGAAAAAAGATTTTCGAAAGGACCCGGTTAGCAAGACCAACAGCTTCATCTCTATACCCAAGATGGAGGTTAAAACCTATTCCAAAAGCAACTCGCTCACACCAAAGAAACCTGTCAGGCGGATCATCTCTGACAGTAACAGCTCGGACGAGGATGACAGGACGTTGTGTTTCACACCAGTGCCCACACCACGGCAACAAGTCCAGCAAACTAACACCAAGACAAGAGACTCTGGCAGCATGAGCTCTAAGCAACAGAAAGACAAAAACAAAGTCAAAAAGAAGCGAAAGAAGGAGAGCAAAAATAATGTCAGTAAAGAGGTCAGGTTTGGGAAAGTCAATGACAAGTTCTGCACTTCAGACTCTGATTGTGGGGATTTGGAAAGCGAGGATGACAAAGGCTCAAACAGCATCAAGGACTCTGCTGCAATAAACCTTAAAGAATCCCCAGGCTTTAATGCCTCCTCTTCCTCCTCCTCTTCACATGGAAGCTTAAACTCTCAGAAACAGGCACCCTCGTTAGCGGAGCAGCATCCAAAGCAGTGGAGGACAGACGGCTGGAAGACGGTTTCATCCCCTACGTGGTCGGATGTCAGTTCTCTTTCAGATCCAGTCAGCGAGTCCGAGTACTCGGATTCGAGTGTGGAGTCAGTAAAGCAGGTTAAGAGAAAAGCGCAAGAGAACAAAAAGAAAAACAACAACGTGCACAGTAATGTTGTTGACAAGAAAAACTCTGATCTCTATAAAAACTCTACCACAGAGAGCGCCACCTCTAAAACGGATGTGGATGGAAAGGTGATTAAAAAGCATAAAGTGAAGCACAAGCATAAAAACAAGGAAAAGGACAATGCCCCAAGTGTTGTGCTCAATCAGGATATGAATGAGAAGTTTGTCAAGAGCTATTCTTTTGACTTTGATGATTCAAGACAGAAGTCCTTAATTGTTGAGTCTGAATCAGCAGTCGAGGGCAAAATCAAATTATCCAAACACGAGAAAGACCATTCGAAAAAGGACGATAGGCTTTCAAAAGCCAAGTCTGAAGATAAGGATTGGTCGTCTGGAAAAGACCTTCACAGAACAGCAAAGGAGGAGAAGAGCAAAAAAGCAAAAGACGCCACAAAAGATAAAGCAAACAAGGAGGAGAGGGAGAAAACTGCAAAATCTGACAAGGAGAGAAATTTTAAAGAAAAGGAGAAACCCAAGGAGGACAAACAGAAACCTCACAAAGAAGAGAAAAAGAAAAAGTTAAAGGAGAAATCCTCCTCAAAGGCAGAAAGGAAGAGTGAGCTGAAAGAGGAGAAGCATCTCAAAGTGGACAAGGAGAAAAACATCAAAGAAGACAAGGAGAAATGTAAAAAAGATAAAACACTGAAAGAAGAGTCTGATCATGAGGGCTATGACATTAATAACCGCTTCCTCAACCTGGAGGAAACGAAGCTTAGTGCATCCGATGACCATCATGATAGGTGGGGCTCTGAGATGTCTTCTGACTCCTCCCTTTACGGAGAAGATAACTGGGACGTTCCCATTAAAGAAGTCAAGGAATATAAATCTAACAACACCGTTAAGCTAATTGTTGAGACTGTTAAAGAAGAGACAAGGAGAAAAGAAAACAAAGTAAAGGACAAGAAGTCAGAGCACGGCGACAAAAGATCAGAGAAAGAAGCCACATCCAAGAAAAAAGAAAAAGACTCATCAGAAAAGATAAATGAGAAGAAAAAAGACTGGTCAGAAAAACAAAAACTGAACTCCAGCCATTCCCTTGACAAAGACAAAAAGAGGAAGGAGTCCACAGACACTCTAAAAGACAAAAAAGACAAGGATTCACTGGACAGCAGTCGTGAACGGAAGGACTCGTATGACAGTTTGAAAGAAAGAAAAGATCAGAAAGTCAAGCAGGAATCTATAGCAGATGAATACAGCAATGATCCATTCTTTAAAGACATGGATGCTGTCAGAGACAGAAACCAATCTGGAAAGGAGAAGGACAAGAAAGGAGAGGCAACTGAGAAGCGGGAAAAGACAAAAACTGACAAGCACAAAGACAAAACAAAAGACAGAGGAGCGGACCACGAAAAGGAGAAGAGTGAACGCAGCTCCACTGAGAAAACTGTCAAGGAAAAAGATGATGACCGGGGCACCAAAGAAAAGAAGGAGGGATCCAAAGACAAACATAAAGATTCTCATGGCAAAGACAAAGATCGAAAGTTATCTTCAGAACAGACCAAGGACAAGAAGGACAAGCCCTGTCAAGATAAACATGCCGACAGGGAAAAAGACATTTTGGAAGTCAAGAAAGAGGAGAGAAAACCCGAGAAAATCAGGGAAAAGACTTGGTACAAGATTGCGGACATCTTTACAGATGAAAGTGATGATGACGAAGACAGCTACAACATTGGGTCTGGCTTCATCAGGAAAGAACCAACTCCTGATCAGGACGAGCTGGATCACTTCCACTCAGAAAAGATGAGAAAATCTTCTGCTGACTCTAAACACAACACAGAAAAGGCAAAAGACAAAGAACACAAAGAAAAGAAGAAAGATAAGGCCTCATTTGACTCTGGGAAAGAGAGGAAAGGCTCTCTAGAAAAACACAACAAAGACAAAAAGGATTCAGTGGATGGAAAATATAAGGAAAGGAAAGATAGAACATCAGTGGACTCGACACAGGAAAAGAAAAACAAGCAAAAGCTGTTGGACAAAAGGGAAACGAGTGAGGAAAAGACAAAGAGCAAATATAAAGACAGGCAGGACCATTCGAAGGAAAGAAAGCCCTCTAAAGGCAGTGGAGAAAATGAAAAATCCCTGTTAGAAAAACTAGAGGAGGAAGCCATGAATGACTACAAGGATGACTCAAATGACAAGAACAGCGACATCTCCTCTGATAGTTTTACTGATCGAGGCCATGAGCCGATCCTAAGCAGTTACTACGACTCCATAAACCTGAATGACATCTCAGAGGACAGGAGGGATTCCCTGTCCATATCCACACCACAGGATCGTTTCAGAGACAAAGAGAGACACAGACATTCCTCCTCCTCTTCGTCCAAGAAGGGCCACGATAAGGAGAAAGACAAAGTCAAGAAGGAAAAAGGTGATAAACGTGACAAAACCGGAGAGAACCGAGAGTCCTACAGCCGCAGAGAGAGCCTGCCCTTTGACAAGGAGCCCATGCCTCTGGAAGCTGACCCCTACACATTCCCATACGGAGGCAAGGGAGACGGTGACGACGACTTTGATAAAACTTTGGAATTTGAAAAAGAGATGTCTAAAAAGGACAAAGAGAAATCTACTGGCATCATCAGTGACAGAATGAAGGACAAAAAGAAGAAGGAGAAACATAAAGATAAAGTAAAGGAGGAGAAGAATAAATACATGGATGGCTTTGGGTCATTCAAACACTCTAGAGAGGATGTGAAATCAGGGTTGAAAGACAGCCCTCAGCTCACTGTCCTGAAAGAAAGATCGAAGGAGCAAAGTCCAAAGTATGATATGAAAAAGGAAAGAAACCGGGACATGCTGGACAAGGATAACAGAATGGATCACAGTAAGACTAAAACCAAGGACGAAAATGAAAAGCTCCCACAGTCCAAAGACCCGGTGCGGAAAGACATCCGTCCACGTGAAAAACTGTTGGTGGATGATGACTATCAAATGACGAGCTTTGGTCAGATGCTGAGTCTTAGAGATCAGGAGGCTAGGGCCTGCATTAAGAAGCAAAAGGAAAAAATGAAACAAATGGAAAGATTGAGACCCAAAACGGGGGACCCTAAAATCAAAGCAAAGTCTGCTGAGGAAATAAAGAAAAACCGCAGTGAGCTATCTACAAAGAAATCAAACAGCCTGGAATCGGGTCTGAAAGAGAGAAAGCTAAAGGACGTCGGCCTTCCTGCTCAGATTATGTCTCCAGGGAGGAAGTTCCAGCCTACCGACACTCAGAACTCAAAGGACTGGATGACCGGTCATCAAATGAAGGAGAACCTCCCTGCTTCTCCCAGACCAGATCAAAACAGGCCAACTGGTGTCCCCACACCAACGTCTGTAATTTCCTGCCCGAGCTTCGAGGAAGTTATGCAGACGCCCCGTACCCCATCCTGCAGTCCAGAGGATTATCCTGACATTATGCTGGACGGACTGGATTGCCAGAACTCATCAGCCATGACAATATCGATGAATGCCTGCTCCCCAACCTTCTTTGAAAGGTAAAGTATTTAAATATCCTCTCATTAAGAAAAGTTGTTTGTAAGACGTTTGTAATTTATTCAATTTCAATTCAGTTAATTTATATAGCGCCAATTTACAACATGTAATCTCAAGGCACTTTACAGTTTACCAGATCATACAGATAGAATACCAGACTGATTCAAAGTTTGATATCTAAGGAAAACCAGTTGATTGCATCGACTCATTGACTCAAATGCAATCCCTCAGTGGGTAACATTTTCTAATTTGTGTTTTTTGTTGTTGTTGTTGCTGTTGTCTTCCCAGCAGGTATACTAACTCCCAGAGTTTCCAGGAGGGAACGTGTCCTACTCCTGCAAAGAACCTCCAGCTACCACTTGTCAGCCGCTCTGCATCATCTGATGTCCGCAGACCTCTAGAAAACGAGTTCCAATCGGAGTCCGATAAGTTTCTTAGGCAGAGCAATCCCACTCCTGAATACGATCAAACCTCTGCTCCTCAACCTCTTGAGGACAAACCATTAACTTTGAACAGATTGGAAAGCTTGTCATCATCCTATTTCTCTCCTATGAGGATGTTATCTCCTCGCCAGGAGTTAGGTCATCCAACACAAGATGGAGTCTCGGCAACACTTGCTCTCACAGAGGATCATGAGCACCTTCCTGACAGTGTCTACAACAGCTTCCTACCTAAACCCTCCACACCCGTCCACAGACCAGATCCCCAGGAGCCATGCTTTGACATAGCTGCACCACCAACACCTGCTCCTGCTGCTTTACCTCCCTTGGATATTGATGACAACTCTGAGCCGCACCACAGTGAACCTAATCTGGTCCATTCAGACCTGCCCTGTGTAACAGAACAACATCGGGTGCAAGAAGTGGAGGACGAAGAAATGGAGGAAGAAGAAGGGGAAGACGCAGATATGGTTGACAGGACTGATGGAGTCCATTCTGTGACAGAAGACCAAGGACCAACAAGAGATCCGTGTTCTTTCTCTCCTGAAGGTGAGGAGCATTTAAGGAAAAGTTGGCATACAGTGTCTCCGGACCACCAGGAACCTGAAGTCCAACAACTGTCCCCAGTACACTCTGCGCTCAACGATGGAGAAAGCTGCTTTGAACAAAGCATGGGATGGAACGCTGAGATGGACCTCAAATCTTCCCATGGGGAGATTGAAGTTGCTGTCTCCAAAATAACCAGCCCCTACTCCCATTCTGATAACGAGTTACAGCCGATCTCTGGACACACGTCTGTCACCTATGAGAACTGGAATAGGTGGCATAAAGAGGACACTGTGGATTTGGACGAGCAGAAGGAGGCTGTTGATGAAATTCCCTCTCCAGAGCGGCCTGACACAGCTATAGACGAAGAACCCAACTATTTAAATACCTCATCATCCTCTAACAGGCTAGAGTCTTTCTTCCAGGACTGCAACAAGCCAATTCTAGAAAATGGGCACCAAATGGAAACAGAGCCCATATGTGTAGATCCAGACAGCAGACAGAGCACACAGAGCTTCAGCGCTACCCCAGATGATCACATCAACCCAGCTGGGGGCCCGGAGCCTGTGGTCCGATGGCCTGATCCGTTCTCACCCAATGCAGATGAACTCGATGACCTAGGCCCGTTTTCTTTACCTGACCTGCCATTACCTGACAAAGCAGAGGAAACTGAGCCTCGAGACCAAGAGATGGCCAACCACGCCAAGACCGTCTCAGCTCACATCAGACACAACATTCCAAACATGGATGATACAGACATAATGGAAGTGGATCTACCACGTCTGTCAAAGATCCCGTGTCCCTCTGGAGACCTTGTCTTGGGTGAACATGCTAGCCAAGACTTCATCGTGCCGTCTCCACACACCAACTCCCAACAAGAAATGGACCCAGAGCCTCAAAGCGTGCCCACCAATAACTCTTTGTTGATAGGCACACATGCCAGTGTTTTAGAGAGACCGCTACCATATCCTGTCCATGAAGAGTCAGATTCCATTATGTTGTATTCACCTGCAAATTCAGATGCCAGTCAACACCATCATGGCCCAATCCATACCCTCCCTGAGTCGATGCATTTACCGCTGGAAGCAGAGTTGTCGGCAAAGCAAGAGGAGAAGCATGAGGACATGGCAGATACCGTAGCAGAATCTGTGTCCTGCAGTCCTCATACTCATCTTTCTGTGGCAGTTACTGTCTCCAGCACATTGGAGCCTTCGGACACTCAGGACCCCCCCTCCAAGCTAACACCAGTCCCCCCTACTCCTACCCCAGCCCCTGTAGATGTCGCCAAGAAAGTGGAGGAAATCCCTCAAAGAGTCACCCGCAACCGCGCCAAGAACAATGCCGCCGCTGCTCCGCTTACATCCAGCATCTCAACCTCATTAGCCACTGCCGCCACCATTACAACCAGCTTAGCGGTGAGCATCAACTCGGTCCCAACAAGAACGTCCACACCCAATTCAGTGTCTTCCTCACCAGCTCAGAAGAAAGAGAAAGATTGTGGACTAAGTGTTTCCACTGCAGCCTCTCATTCAGCTGGAACAGTGTCTGTCACAACTTCGCCATCTGCGATTCTGAAAATGCCGAAAGGCCGCCCTGTCACCGTTGATGACGAGGACTCTCAAACCCAGCACCCGCGTAAAAGAAAGTTCCCTCGTTCTGCAGGACAGCAAGTCCAGGTCCAGCTTGTGAACACGGCCATGCAGCAGACGCGAGAGATGATCCAGCAGACCCTAGCTGTCGTCGTCAACGCCATTAAGCTGGATGAGATCGAGCCCTATCACAGCGACCGGTCCAACCCTTACTTTGAGTACTTGCAAATCAGAAAGAAGATCGAGGAGAAGAGGAAGATATTGTGCTACATCACCCCTCAGGCCCCACAGTGTTACGCCGAGTATGTGACCTACACTGGTTCCTACCTGCTGGACGGGAAGCCCCTCAGCAAGCTTCACATCCCTGTGGTGAGTAATGCAGCAGGACAGTATGGAGAGTATCAAGATGCAGATGCATACTAAGGAACCTGTAGTCTTTATAGCTGCCAGATATTCTCTGACCTGTAAGAGTTTTTCGTTTTCTAATAACAGCTAAATGTCTTCATTTGCCATCTATTTAAATATTTAGGTTTTCACAGCCTAGACATTTGAGAATCTACATCATACATTTTGAATGTTCAGACAAGTTATTTAGACTTTGTTGTTTCTCTCATCAGATTGCCCCACCTCCATCGCTGTCAGAACCCTTGAAAGAGCTCTTCAGGCAGCAGGAGGCTGTAAGAGGAAAGCTCAGGTTGCAGCACAGCATAGAGCGGGTAAGAAATATATCATCCTGACATCACATGGCAGTCTTTTCTCACCCATTCACCCTCGCACATATTCAGTGCATGCCGACTGCCCTCCGTTGCAACATCAAAGTCTTTTTTGTTTTAGATCAAAATCATTTGAAAGCTGCATAGTACCTGCTCTTAGCCTGAGCTACAGTGAATCGCCAGGATGAAGCCTTTTCATCTCTGTCTGCAATTAAGTCTCAGTCGTTTATGCAATAAAGCGATAGATCCAGACTGTTATCCACCAATCTGACGGACGTGAAGTAATCCTGCCATTCTATTTGGTTGCTACATATCTTTTTTTCTCTCTTGTGTGTCATGTTTGCAGGAGAAACTGATAGTTTCATGTGAACAGGAGGTTTTAAGGGTCCACTGCAGAGCAGCAAGGACGATAGCCAATCAGGCTGTGCCGTTCAGTGCCTGTACGATGCTGTTGGACTCTGAAGTGTACAATATGCCATCTGAAAGTCAGGTAAGTGATATGAAACTACATTGTTGAACTCCAGGTCAGCAGGTACCTTTTATACCTGAACAGAGTTTAGGTTGTAACACGTCCTCCTTTTCAGGGTGATGAGAACAAATCTGTGAGAGATCGCTTCAACGCCCGTCAGTTTATATCCTGGATCCAAGACGTGGACGATAAATACGACCGCATGAAGGTATGTTCCTCTCATGCGTATACTTCGTAAATAGGCGTAATACTTTACGCCAGGGGATGGCACTGTAATGGTGCTACAGAAGTAAATAAGTTCAATTTAAAAAAGGAAGAAGAGCAGGTTGTAAACATGAGCTTTGGAGAGAGAAAAATCATGTTGACCGATAACAGAGTAGCAAAAAAGACAGCTTCAGAAACAGGTTCTTCAAACTTTGACTTCTGTTGCAGGTTTTTGGTTAGCATGATGTTTAATGCCCATTTTTGCGGAGGCTTTGTCAGGACAAGACCTCTCTCAGCAAGATGTTTGTCAGAGCTAAACTCAGCTAATCCTAAATCCCACAGTCTATATGGGGTGTTATCAAGAGAAACATAAATGATGCTCTAATATTTGGAAGGCCAATGTTTAACAGATGTGTGCACATCTTAATGTGTCTGCTCTGCTTTCCACCCTTAGACATGTTTGCTGATGCGACAGCAGCACGAGGCGGCAGCTCTCAACGCGGTGCAGAGGATGGAGTGGCAGTTAAAGGTTCAGGAGCTGGATCCTGCCGGGCACAAATCCCTTTGTGTCAACGAAGTGCCGTCCTTCTACGTACCGATGGTTGACGTCAACGACGACTTTGTCCTTCTGCCCGCGTGACGCACCGCTGCGCAAAGATTGAGACAGAATTCCATCAGTCATTTCTTCTCTATGAGACTTCGTTGAAGCGAACAAATGGAAAGGGCTATCAAGTTAGAGGAGTTTCTACAGGAAGGACTATATTCTTTAGAAAAGGAGTAAAGTTTGGAAACTTGCTTCTGATTCCTTTCCGTGAAGAAGGAAACTTTTTACTGGAGGAAAAGAAAATACACAACCTGCACTTTGATCCTGAAAAGTTTTTACGCTTTAGTTTGATCGGAGTGTTAGAAGCAGAAACTGCTTTGAGGCTCTGACATCGGGACACACCTACTCAGTGCTCAGTTATGGTGAGATGGGGGGACAGAGATTTATTTTCTGTTTGGTTTTTAACCCCCTGATTCAATACCCATCGTCACTGGGAGGATGAATCAGAGAAGAGCTCTCCCAGCTGCCCAGTGCCCGTCCAGGGGGACCTGAGGAGGAGGAGGAGGAGCTTCCCAGGGCTCTCAGTGGTCAAGGAGATCCAGACTGAGGTCAGCACTGACCCAGAGGGAGTACAAGGAGCCCCAGCTCTTCATGTAGGATCTTCAATGGCTCCATAAAAGCTACAGCCAGTGGATTTTTCCGACCAGTGGGCTGGAACACCATAAAGATGTGTGAGAACGCCGGGCCCAGTGTCTGATAGGAAGACTGACCCTGCAGCCTCTCAGCCTGGCTAGACAGAACAGTAGAGCACGGACCCCCGAGGACAGCCCGGAGTGTTCCTCAGAGGTTCTGCTCGCTCCTACATGAAAACAACAGACCGCCATGGACTGCAAAACACCACAGGACAACCAGAACAAACAAATCCAACGAATGTTGATATTCAAAGAGACTGTTGAGAAATTGAGGTTTGAAAGGAGAAGAGAAATATTGTTTGTTTGTTTTTTTTGTTCTTTTTTTTTGTCTATTTCTTTACTTGGGCATTTCATTGTTTCTGAGGAAGTGACTTGAAACACTACAGAGCCAATATTAGTTTAATGGAAAAAAACATCAAAAAACAAAAAAAGTTGTATTCCGTAAATGATGTACAGTTTTTATATTCGTTAACCAATGTATTCTTGCTGCCTTCTAGATAAGTTATTTTGCCACACATTACTGCACAGTTGTAAATAACCTATGTACTGTAATATCACTCAGTTACATGTAAAGAAAGAAGAAAAAAACAAAACAAAAAGAAATAAAAAAATTATCTTTTTATGTACAGTTCACTTATGGGCAGCACTCCCCCCCCCCCCCCCCTCTCATATCCAATGGGCCAAAATATGTACCCAGTCCTGTCAGTATTTTAAAGACTCATCCTTAGATTCGGTCAGCTCGCCCGGATGAGCCGCCTCAACACGACAACCTGACAGATACAGATTCTGGATTATTCAGGCCCGCCGCGGGCCCTCCACCATAAAGCCCCTCAGATGTAGCAGAATAGATATTACGGATTTATTTAAAGAATAAACAGAGGGTTATTATTCATTGCTTTACTACACAATTATATCAGAAAATTTTTTAACCAAGAAAATGCCTTTTTCAGTAAAAAAAAAAATAATACTTGTTGGGCAAAGCCACATAGTTATATATGGTTGAAAGAGAGATGTCATTCACGAGTAAAACAATTATAGTTGTCATGTTTTCTTTTGCTTGTTTTTAATTTCTAGATTTGGGGATCTGATTTCTTAATCATCATTAAAACATGAAAACAGGTGTTTCATCTCTTTGCCACTGAAAGGACGTCAAACATATCTGTCAGGTTTGTGCACCTCTTCCCTTCATATTGGTGCTCTACCAGCTGTACTCACCAGGTGGCGCCACAATATCTAACCTTATCTGGATTTGCATGAGTCCTGTAACTGTTCACTTAAGATGACGTTTTTAAGTAGATTTGAATTTTATGACAGCCCATAGGAAGATTAGGTTCCCTCATAGGAGGTTGGTGATATAGTCTGTTAGTTTATGACTATGTTTTTCTCCAGTGGAATTAACACAGGGACGGTCAGGGATTTTAATTGTTAGCTTATTTCCTCATAATGTCCTTTTGTATGAAGGCATTTTGCTATTTTTCTGTCAGGCCCAAGCAAACAGTTAGCAGAAATAGATGCAAATCATAGAATAAACCAAAAAAGTCAGATAATAACAGACAAGAGGTGGTAAACAGCATGCAGCTAATCAGGCTGTTTTTTAATGATTATAAACTCCCATTGAAGAGTTAATTTGTAGTAATAACAACAAGCATCTACGCCTACTTTAAGTGGTTTTGAAAAGCTTTCCTGCCCAAACACGTAGGTCTCCTACCCATCTGTGTGTGAGAGCTGTTTCTCTATCCTGAAGGCAATATTAACCCAAACTATTTTCACCCACACTGAACACAGCTGTGTATGGTATGTCCAGTCTAGTGCAATGGTTGTTGCTGTTACACTGTGCAGACAAAGGTGGCTACATGTTTGGCTCACACTCATCCTGGTTGGCATAAAAGAAAAAAAAAAGTTGGCAGACAAATAGCCGATGCTTTGTTTCTTAAATCTGTTTGTCTGGTTTTTATTTTATAGTCCAGTTTCTTCAGTTTTGGGGAAGATAGTGCATTCTTTCAGTTTTTGTGTATGCGTGTGTGTTTTTTGTTTTTTTTTATTGTTCTTTTTAGAAAAGTTTTTGTTGAGTGTAATGTTAATCTTGTGCTTTTTGTTTTTCTCTTTATTTGTTCTCAGCATGTCAATCACATTGCTTACTCAGCAGAATGTAACCTCCTCCCAAAAACTACACCTCGACCGAACCCGCACCCCTCCCAAATTTCGCTACTGTTTACAAGACATCAAAAGAGCGTTTCCGTTTAACCCCGGTTTGTTCTATAATGGTTTGTTTGAGTCCCACCTTTCCTTCTGTGATCAGTCATTTCTTCGATCACAAAGGCTTGAAATGGTGATGGCTGACACATCAGACAGGTGAAGCCTGCAGCCCGCTGCACACAGCAGTAGACTAAACATGTCTGCACACGACAATTCTACTACATGAACATTCAGCTGCCGAGAAGACAAAAAATTCGACTCCTCAGATGCACAGTAGAGCACTTGGCCATGATAACAGATGCTAGCCTCAGTCAGCAACATATTACCTCTACTCTCCTCACATTCACTCATAATGTTTATTTTAGGTTAGATTATTACTTACTGGACATGCGTAGACATAAAGGCTATTTTTAATTGTAGAAAATCACAATTTCAAGCCTTTTTTTGTTTATTTTTTTAATAATTAAAACCCAGACTGTAGCTGTTTGTTCTTTTTTTTTATTTGAAAAGGACTAATAAAAAGCATGGAGAACTACTCTTAAAATGGTGAGAATTAAACTATTTATTGTATGTTTTTGTTTTGGGTTTTTTCTGACACCTGTGGTATTTTTTTTTTTTAAGTTGAAGTAAGTCTCCGCTGTGTAAATTTTCCTCCTTGTAACGCGTGAAAGAGACATACTGTACATAGCTCTGTAAATAAAACCCCCCAGGATGTTTTGCACCCTCCTCTTTGTACTAGTCTGAAAAAAAGTTGCATAGAATGTGGGGTTCTAACAGCGACGAGCCGTGTGCGCCCGCTGCAGGTGATTATGATGTAACAATGTAACTATTTTTTTTTATTTGTACAATGTAGTTTATTTGTGTACATATTGTCGGAGCAGCTAAAGGGGTTTTGGAGGGTTGGTCTACGAGGATGCTATCGTCAGTGCTGTAACAGAACTTTCAGTACTTTCACCTCCAGCTGTTGTTGATTTCCTGCAAAAAAAAAAAAAAACAAACAAAAACGTTCGAGATAAAAAAGGCAAAAAAAAATTTTAATGAGAGAAAATGAACGTGTGGGAAAGGGGGGAGGGGGGTTAAAACTGAAAAGTAAAAATTCTAAATTGTTATTTTCTACCGTTGCATGTACAGAGAGCGCGAGAACTGCTGTTGTTCCTCAGAGATTATGTTCGTTAATAAAATTTTTAAATATTAAGAGATGTGCTGTTTTTTTATTTTTGCTTTTATAATTATATCATTTTCTCATGATGAACTATATACTGTTAAATAGAAACACTTAAACCTTTTTCTACACAATTATAGGGACAATTATTCAAGTCTGTTCAGAAAATCAAGGTAGTTGGTAGGTGTGTGAGTTGCCAGTACATACACCTTTAAAAAACAAAAAAAAAAATTGGAACGTTATTGATCTTACAATGGAGAAATGAACTCTGCATTTAACCCATTCCCTTGGGGAGCATTGGGCTGCCACTGCAGTGTGCAGGGACCAATCGGAGATTAAGGGTCTTGCTCAGAGAGGTAGTCTGTGGTAGTGGGTTTCAAATTCACAACTTCAGGATTCCAAGCCCTAACCACTAGGCCACCACTGTGTGTGTGTGTGTGTGTATATATATGTGTATATATATATATGTATATATATATAATATATACACACACAAGTTGTGGGTAATTTCAAAAGGGGAAAATTCAGCTAACTTCATGTTTTTTTGTTTGAAATCTGGGAAATTTGGAGTTTGCTTTCGAGTTAAAGACTCAATGTTCTTTTAATGTTCAATTCTAACAACAAACTAAACTATAGATATGGTGTTATTACAGCATGTTATTTCATTCTGAAGTTTAAAGTTGACCTATAAGTTACCAGTAATCAGAAATTGTGGTCTAGTGCTTAGCGAGCACCGCATTTGCTACTTGGAGCAATCGCAGAGGTTGGTGATTCAAGACCTACTGTTTGGGTTGGATAAAAATGTGCAATAAGCTCTAAATAAACGTATAATGTTTAAGTAAGAACTTAAGATTTGTAATTAAATCATGACATTATCTTAGTTACCACTACTTTCGCATAAGTTGGAAAAAGATCATACAAGTTGCAATAAAACAGATTATAAAGTCCCAAATTAAAAGAAATTATTGAATGGTGCTGCCTTAACATTTTGAGTTCTGACAACTTTTCTATTTTTACAGTGTAGGATAAGGGTTCAAATCAGGATAAAATAACTTATTTATTTCGTCCTTCTCACTGTCATTTCAGTGGGCCTTTCCATATCTGGCTGGGAGTTTAAACAAATGCATCTACAAGAGTACTTTTCTTGGAGTGGTGCTTGTGCTCTTTGCTTGTCATTTCTGATTGCAACAATTAATTGATATTGCAGCCACAGCAACCATTTATTGAGTCATTGAGGACATCTAGTGAGTTTCTGTTGGTCTAAAGCGAGGATAAGGGGAGCCAGGAAAGCACCAATATAACGCTCTAGATTTAAGGAGGAAAGTAATCTGCTTCCCTTATGTAAAAACATCACAGACAGTCACAGTTGTGGTTAAAAAGGTGAGTTAGACTAACAGACTGATGTGTCACTGTCTCTCAGAGTGATCCATAAGCTCGTCTTCTGCAGTTTTCTATCTCAGTCAAAAATTATCACAAACATTAAAGTTCTTGATGGAAAAAAAATCAATGTCAGCCTCAAACCTTTAGATTGGCCAAAAATCATTGGAGGGATTTTAGGAAATCCAAGAGACGTCTTTCTGTTATTCAGCCCTTGGTAGGAAGTCTTTCACTTTCTGAAGGAATAAAAAACCCCTTGGCCTCCATATCCGTCCCATGTTGTGTCTGTCCTGCAATCCTTATGTCAACTAGCCCTAAGTGATATAATTGTCATTATTACATGACTAATCTTAAGCAAACATGGCCAGTCAAATAATCGTAACACTGCACTAACAAAACAAAAAAAAACTGCTTTGTCATTGTAGAACAACCTGTTTTGGATCCTGTCATGGCTCAGAGGAGCTTTCCCTGCAACTTGATCCAGTAATTTAATGCTCCGAGTCTCATGGTCACATGAAGCAAATGTGAGTCATCTGCTAAAAGGAAATTTATTAGTGTGAGGAATTTCTAAACATAGCCTACAGATGCTGCGTCAGACATATAGCTCTGAATACCATGCTCTCAGTTTCTCTTTTACTTAAACATTTTCATTATTTGCATTTTTTTTTCTTAATACGGTTGGTTTCTTTGTTAAATTCAGCCTTTCAATGTAAAAGCATTTTTATTTTAAGGTTAATTATTTTTTATTGTTCATGTACAAAATCCTTTAAATCTTTGAAAATGGCTCGTTATAATATTAAATCAGCCTTTCAGCTCTAAATGAGACATTTGGTCAAATAAGTTCTATTAAGATACATAAGTAAAAACATTAGTTTACTAGTCTACTGAGAAACTAAAGCAAATGCCATCTCACATCAGTTTTCATCTGCAGTTAGAGGAAATCCTGTTCAACACAAACCTATTAAATTAATTTAAATAGCATCAAGACGTATATTCACAATAGAGACAATTACATAGTGCATCAAAGTCAGTTCATCATGTGCTATTTACAAAACGTTAGCTCTCTCAGGAGACAGAGCCGATCACACTGATAATTTGAACAACAGCAATTCCTCATGCAGGACAAGCGTAGTAACAGTGGGAAGAAAGTTCAGACAGAAGCAGGCTGTGAATGACTGGTCTCCTCCTTTAGCAAAATGAGAGCTGAATTAACAGAAAGCAGATACAGTAGGAAAAAAAAGAAACTTTTATTGGAAAGGAGATCAAAAGGCATTAATAGCTCT